CAGCAAAGTCACAAAGTGCTTTTACAGACGTGAATCTACATGGGTCCGAGACGACAGTCATCGAATGCAAAGTATTTGCAAACGAATTACTAAATATGACCATTATGGTTCATTAAAGCTGACAGTTTTACATGCATTGTAACTTCTTAGCTATAGTCGTTGTTTCATTTCAAATCACAGTGCCAAAACAACAACAACTTATTTCAGTGTCCAAATACTTATAGACTGCACTGCATTTTGAAACGTACTCCTTAGCTACATAGCTAGATACTTTTTTGTTTTTGTTGAAAACTACTCACCATCGTGTCTAAGACAAGGATGATCGGTAGATGTTGGATGGGGACTCTTGTTGCGTCCTGGCTACCATGGCAACTGCTCGCGCAGAGAGCTGCAGAGGAGGTACATCTGTTTGTGTAGTTGCGACGTTACGTAACGATTTACGGTGCTGTTTACTGACTTCTGTTGCGCGAGGTTAAAGCTGTAGTACTTGTCAAAATACTCTACGGCGAGAATTTATAATTAAGGGAATACTGATTGAAAGGAATATTAGTTGTAACGGGTGCATTTATCGATTCATTACAATACATTTATATTGCCACGGTTTAGGCAATGTGCTAAGCTATCTAGCTAATCGTAACGATTGTTGGCCTTGCAAGATCTTTGCTTTACTTTAGTGACAGCGCTGTTTTACTAACCGCTTTGTCACGACGCAGGTACAAAAACATTCATGCATGACATATTGGTACGATTGTTTGATTAGTTATGTGTCTGACAATGTATTTTCTATGTTTTATTTCGTGCAGTTGTGTGAATCACCTGTTGGACAGCTGTTAGTTAACTTTTATTGATCTTCGTGCTTTCCATGCAGTAGTAAAGGCAGCTACAGTCTCAGAGAGCCATGGCCAACACTCTGAGGAAGGAGGTTTTACTGCTGTACAAGAATGTAAGTAGGACATTTATGTCATTCCGTGCTCCACCTTTGATTGTTATAATTCACATATAGCACGTACACGTCCAACATCTGTGATCAATGCCACTGTTGTTATAATTCACATATAGCACGTACACGTCCAACATCTGTGATCAATGCCACTGTTGTTATAATTCACATATAGCACGTACACGTCCAACATCTGTGATCAATGCCACTGTTGTTATAATTCACATATAGCACGTACACGTCCAACATCTGTGATCAATGCCACTGTTGTTATAATTCACATATAGCATGTACACGTCCAACATCTGTGATCAATGCCACTGTTGTTATAATTCACATATAGCACGTACACGTCCAACATCTGTGATCAATGCCACTGTATCTGATGTCCAATTCCAAAGCACTTTTAGTTGATCGTTGTTTTGCCCTTCCATGGACAGCTACTGTTTCTCGGGCGTGAATACCCCAAAGGAGCTGACTACTTCAGGGCACGTCTGAAGTGTGCATTTATAAAAAACAAAGATGTTACAGACCCCAGTGAGATCAAAACGCTTGTTAACAGAGGGGAGTTTGTGATTAAGGAACTGGAGGCTCTGTACTTTCTGAGAAAGTACAGAGCCATGAAGAAGCGTTACTACGAAGATGGGCAATAACTAAATGACACAGAGGAAGACTTTTTTTGCTGATGTATAGAAGTTGTTGAATGTCTGACTAGGGAAACTATATGTCAGTCTTGCTGAAAAGGAGAAATTATTGCTAAATATTTAGCAGGTAAATCATTAGTATCTATCTGCCACTGGGCAAATTAAATGACAAATGTCCATTAATAAAAAAAAATATATGCAACATCTGCATTGTTAGTCAAATTGTATCTGCTGTTATATATTACCTTGTTCATAACTGTAAAATCTCTTCCATGAATACCTAAAGTTCAAATCACTACAGTAATGTTCTTCCATGTGTACATAATTGTAAATACTAGAGAAAATGTCCAATAAATGTCTTTATTAAAATACTGACATGTCTTTTTTTAGTTATCTAGGCTACATGCATAGAAATATGACAATATATATGAGATATAGGTACAATTATTAGGAGGGAAGAGAAGAAAGAACCATTGTTTTTCATCAATATATTAAGCAGGAACACTGCTCTTTGTGAGATGCAACTCATGGATGTTGCAGAAGCCAGGGTTATTGGTTCCAAATTGTGTCTGTCTTCTCTTTATGATCTCCAGCTTTCCTGCTTGTCTCATGGCCTAGGTATGATTTACAGTGTGTAAATACGTCAATCATTTGATTGAGTGAATTTGTGTGGTAGTTAAGCGCTACAAGAGCATTTTAAAATATCTCAGGCCCCTCAAGTTTTACGTTGTAAAGCATATTATTAAAAAGACATTCATTACTTACCCTCTCTTCAAAGAGCTTATAAAAGCAATGGAATGTTGTGTCAGTTTTCATTAAAGTCAGCCTTGGTTCCAATTTCAGCTTTATACCCCCTGAAAATCCATGCAACTGATTTATTGTATAAATGTAAAATATTGCTAGAAATTTAATTTTGTATACAAAGTGAATGATGTACCAGTACCAGAGAATAGGCTGACCACAAGCCCAACAGTGAGTGCTGTGAGTGTCCCGATAGGACTGAAGTAAAGATAGGACATGGAATACCAGTTATCAGCCAGGAAGTTTCTGTTGAGGAGACATACACTGTAAACACCTGGGTTTGGGTCTGTAGGAGGCAGATGTATAACCACCCAATGAATCACCTGTCCACTGCATTCAACTGTTCTGATGTTGTGTAGAGGCTTGCTTGTGTTGAAGTTGCCGTCCAGTTGAACAGGTTAGCTGTGGTGGTAAAGCTACAGCCATGTGTGTTCAAACCCAGAGGCCTGCTCTGGTCTGGCAGAGGTGGGTAAAACTGGGCCCCTATTCCCACCCAGAGGGACATAGCCAGCCCAAAAAGCAGACCAGCCAAGCCACCCTGTAGCACAGAACAAACAGTGAGAACGTTAACATTTATTTGGGACTGCAAGTCTTTTGGTCAGGGGCGCGTCAATATAATTTCCCCACCTTGAAGGCTCAGGGATTTGAACTAGCAACCTTGGGGTTACTGATCGAATGCTCTAACCCTTAGGAAACCCGCTGACATCTTTAAATCTCATGATTGTTTGACATGCAAAATATGCCGAGGAGATAGAGAGACTGTACTCACCGTGGCATTAGCATATGGACACAGGATCCCCAGTGAGAAGAGACCCAGTAAAGGTCCTCCGATGATCCCAAAGAGAGTGATAGCTGCCTACGGTGGGAGTTTCGAGATACGCTTGTTACAGTAACATACTTTATAATATGGTCAGTATGCCATTACACACAGAACACTTGGATTGCTTTTGTGGTTGTATTGTGTACCTGTAAAAGACCACCCATCAGCGAGGCTAGACCAGCCATTCCAATACATATAGCCCCATAGAGAAAGCCTAGTGTGAAGCATAGGCAGTTATAATGGTCTATACAGATCTGCAAGAATATATCTGTACAATCATTAAACATTTGACTATACAGTAGCTCTTTGAGGTCTTTTCGAAAAGCCAAGACATGATCCATATCATAGACACTTACTGAGACTTTTAGATGTCCAGGAAAGATGTGTCTCTGACATATGTGTGTATGGCTTGATTAGGTCCTCTATTGTCACAGCAGTCAGAGCATTGATACTGGATGAGACCGTACTGTTCATAAGAGAGTAATTATAATGACACTGTTCACTTAGAATTATAAAATAATGTAGCATTATAAACATAAAATGTGACTACGCAACAATGGAACTGCATTGTTTTTTTAACATCTGTTACTGAATGTTAAGTCATTGCGATTTTACTTTATAAACACCAGACTGTTCTGCTGTGGCCAGCAATAATCTAATACATTAAAAATATCAAGTTTCGTTTAAAAAAAAAAAACGAAATGGCATTTCTGTTTGTTTTCTGATTAAAAATTATATATAAGGTTGTAAAAATGTTATTCACAGAAAAAAAGACTTTGACTAGAACTTAACCTTAGAATATTAACCTTAGTGTCCCACTGTAGGCTGCAGCCACAAACAGTCCAGGAAGCCCGGGGTATTCTCTCATGATATCCATCACCATGTAAGGCATCAGCTACTCACAGGAAGAAGGGAAGTGTAATTGTCAGACTCAGTCTGTGAATGCATTGCGTTTGGGATATTCTGAGAAAGAAAATCCCTAAAACATTCTGGCCTTGTGAAAGAAAAATCTGTGTATTTTAACAAAATAAGTAATACACTTCATATTATATTATTTTTATAATACCCTTTAGTTAAGGGACAGTTTGTGAGAAAAATAATGTTCACTGTGATCTTAAATGTGTTATTTATACCTGATCAGGTGCAGTTATCATGCCTGCTGTCCAGGGGTCGCAGTTCTTGTAGACAGAATATAAACACAACCCCGCAAACACAGAGCACAGCATGATGACCCACAGCCCTATCAGGTTTATGTACAGAGACCTTGGGAATGGGAGAGAGAGACCAGGACAGAAAGAGACATGGAGAGAGCAGGTGAGACAGAGTTCCAACACTGGGCCTGAACAAGAGAAAGATATTCATACTATGATCCAGAATTTTAGGCAAGATGACTCACATTTTGGCATGATTGATCGACTTGCAGGAGATATATCTCTGCACCTGTGATTGGTTGATACCATAAATACTGGTCCATACAAACGTCCCACCAAAAGTGATTGTCCAGAATGTGTGTCTCCTCAGTGGGTTAGCATCAAAGCTGTGGAAAAGACAGAGACAAAGAGAGAACTTTTCCTAATACTGTTTTTCCTGTCCATTAAGATACAGCACAAGACCAAGTTGTCAATATACTAACAATCTATAGACCTCAGACAAGTGCCGTGGTCTAGATTTCTGAAGACGCCTGATTTCATGAAAGGACCATTAATTTTGTTGAACTTGAAAGGAGGTGCACAGAATTTTATTTTTATTCAACCTTTATTTAACCAGGTAAATTCTCATTTGCAACGGCGACCTGGGGAGAAGCTGGGGATTGAACCCTTGGAGATCATACACACTAAGCATGCACTCTACCACTGAGCTATCAACTGCTCCTTCAAGGTTGTCGTGTATTCATTGTAATCATTGTGACATCTAAATTCACTTTTTAAATATATAAAAAACAGAGACAATATTGTTTAAGAGCTTGTGTTAACTGGTCAAATTAAGGTAAAAGTGAATATAGTGAGTGCCCTATAAAAGTAGAGTTGGTTTGAGTGCAAAATGAAAGCAAATTGTATGCTAACGTTTGAGGTGGAAACATATTAGTGATATCTCCTTAATGTTTTTTTGTTAGTGATGTTTTTATAACTGGGCCTATTATATTTATATATATATAGGTTTTTAAATATGTGCCAGCAAAAGAAATCGACTAACTCCCAGAAGTTGAGTCGTCCTCCTTGTTCTGCATGTTGAAGGATGTTTGCAACTCCTCCCTGGAGGACCACGGCTCTGACGATGACCGACAGAAAGCCTGCTACCATGATGCCCACCTGAAACACGTCTGTCCACACCACAGCCTTCAGTCCACCCTGTCATAAAGCCACGTTACATAGTAAACCAAAGGTCACCGCAGTGACAGTGAAGAAATATGCACTTTAGCTGTACTCTCCCTGTATCAGGAAATACGATTTTCCATAATGAAGATTTGTCTGAAAAACGTCACATAAAAATAGTTGACCATCTTATTGTCCCTCTGTCCAGGACTGTCTGGTTCTATACCATGGTGCAGTAAAATGTGCAGACCACTCCTGTTGAAATGACAGCACCCCAAAGATCCATCCCAGTCACTGGAAAGAGAAGGAAAAGGGAAGGCAGAAAGAGCCACATCGTTTAGTAGAAAGGGGATTTCACCTGCAACTCGAGCTGAAATTACAATTTGCAGGCATCATTCAGGATACTACACCTTGGTTTAACGCCAGGGCAGGAGCATAAATGACTATTCCTGTGTAGAGTGTCTATAAGACAGACAAGATGTGGACAAGAGAGAGACAATATGTGGTTTATATAAACTATTTTAGCACAAGGTTTGTTCTCATGTTTATAGGGGTAAAGATACATAGTGTAAAGGTGCAGAGTGTGATTTATTTCATTAGGATTCCAATTTGTAATAATAGTTATCTGGGTAATAACTGTTTTTAATGTAATAATTACTCACAGTCTGAACAATGAACATTACTGTCCCAATCAGGCGAGTTGCTTTGTTAAACCGCATCTCCAGATACTACAAAATAAAAACAAAACACAAAACATTTTGAATGATACCTTGTGACTGTTTCATCATCATACTTTAGGAATTCCAGGTTTAATGCAGTTTTTACATAGATTTTTCATTGCAATTACTTTGTCTAATATAATAAAGAAATGATTGCTATTATTTACATTTAAATACTATAGAAATACATATAAAATACACTATCAAATAACTACACATAATAAATACAACAATACAGTACAATACATTCATTCTAACCTCAAAGGTGCTTGTGATGCCGAGTCTGTAGAAGACGGGTAGAAAGACCTCTGAGCTGAACACCACCACCAGCACATAAGAGAGGCTGAACAGGCCGAAGCTTGCCCCATATCGATACACTTCGGCTGGGGTGGCCAACACTGTAATAGCCGACATGAAGCTGGCAGTCAAGGAAAGAGCCACAGGTACAGCAGTCAATCTTCGACCTCCCATAAGAAACTCATTGGAGCTGCTTTGACCACGACCAACAATGGCATAGTAGACGCCAATAGCTGCAGACACCAACAGCATCAAAGCAAAGACTGCATAGTCCCATGCCACAAAGGACCCAACCAATGGAGAAGCTTCCGTAGTAGCCATTGTATTGAAAAGATAATCACAGAAAGGTTGTCCAAGACAACAAAAATGTTTCTTGAGGTTTCTGTTCTTGGCACACAATAAGATGTCTATATAATTCACATTAGGCTGTGAGCTTAAACAGGATTGCAGCGAGCTCTGTTGTCTTGTTGGTCAAATACGTTTGTGGTAGATAGCAATGGGCATTTTTCTCCACCCCACCAGTCAAGAGCTGCAATTGTTCTGTTTTTCTCCTGGCTGGACCGATAAGTACCCTTGTCATTAACCCTACCTCCTGAATATGTGTGCTCACAAAGGTGCATACATGTGGAAACACTAACAAACATTTTTGTACTTACCATTATTGCCGAGACCTATACAATAATTCCCTTTCAAAATTATATTTTTAATTACTATCCCTGTTTTTTTAAATAACATTTACTTATAACTTTACCGGAAAACCCAAACATACCAAACTCATAACTATTTTGTAAGCTTTACCCTAAACTCAAAACTAAGCCAAAAAAGGACTGTGGGTTAAGTAGACTGAATAATTATTCAAGTTCAAGTCTTTTTATTTAAAAGTATACTAAAACGAATACACACAACTGGTCAAACATATAGCTACAGATATAAAACACATGATTTCCCTTTAAAATATATTTTGGTAACCCCAAGAACATTTAACTCCAGATGTAACCCATAACATAAAATAAGCAAAGCGTACTGCTTAAACTTAAACATTATCCCCAATGTGTAAATGTAATATTAACCACAATTCTGAGATTGAATCGCTACTTTAGCATTAACCTTCTGGGTACTGGCAAAAAAAACTTTGCTGGACATCCTATTATTCCTTTATTGGCTAAATAAATGTGGGAACGATTTCAGGTTTTACTATCTTAGTGAGGTCACGCACGCACGCGCACGCACGCACGCACACACAAACACACACACACACACACACACACAGACCAACACAAATTAAACACATAAAAAAAATTTGAATGATCCGGATGGTATGCACACGAGTTGTCATAGCTGTATCCAGTATTGTATCCATGTAGTCATTCTTGAAGTTGATGACGTAAAGACTTTTATTCACACGTGGAAAGTAAAAAAGAAAAAAAGAAGAAGAAAAACACGTGGAAAGTAGCAATTTCCCATCATGCTTCATCCAATATGGCGGCGCCCGGGTATCGGCATGTGTGTCAACACATTTAGCCAGTAAATCGTTTTTATTAGGTCTTTAGTAGTCGTGGTATACATTTTTTAAAATTATATATCAGAGAAAGAGACGAGTAAAATGAAGATCAAATCCAAGTCAACGTATCATAAATCTGAGAACACTTTCAGGGTGAGTTGTTAACTTGTGCCAGACAGTTATTAGCACAACTGGCTAGTCCTCATAATGTGCCTATTGCTGTTAGCTGTATGTCTTGTTTTCACAGTGCTTCGTTATAAACACTCATATTTCTAGTTAGGGGAAATAAACCAATAAGTAACACTGTTAACATGACGTATTAGATACTATTCTGACTATGTTAGCTTCATAACTTACAGCATAATGTTAACCAGGAGGCACTGTTATTATTGTACCGATAACATAATGATTTGCATTACAGTTTCTCACGTTCGCTGAAAGGCTCGCCAATGTCAATGTCGATGTCATCCATCGTATTGACAGAACTGGGAGTTATGAAGAGGTATGTCACTTTGTGAGAAATGTAATTCCCCTGTAAAACGTAGGTTCTTTGTTAGTCATCTCATGATAAACTGTGTTGCTTTCTTTTTAGGAGGTAGATACCTACTTTTCAGAAGGGTTAACGAAATGGAGGGACCTGAATTTGACAGAGCATTTCTGTGAGTACAAGAACTAAACACAGAAAATGTCCAAAAGGGACCTGACCAAAATATACACATACATTTGAGAACATTATCATAATAAAAACACACAGCTTTAGCTATAATTGTCAGCTTGTTGTTGAAACGATCTCTTTACATTATAGTTATATATTGATCATTCAATGTGTCTAGATAATTCCCCCTTGTTTGGTATGGACCATAGACCCCATCAAATGAATGCCGTTTAGGTAGGGGAAGCAATATTAGTTGTTAGTCTGCTGAACAATTTACTAACATAATATGGGTGCTACTAAAATTTGTCCTCACTCTCATTTAGCATTGACTCTCGTGACACAAGTGTCCAGCATACACAATGACTCAAGATGTCCTAGTAATCCATTACAAGAAGAAAGGTAGACAAAGCAGGGGTTTGATTTTACTATGGGACACCTTCATTTCTTCTCCATCTTTGTCAATTTGTCTGATCTTCAGCAAACTTCCTGAAGGAGGTGACCAACAAAAGCCAGTCCTTTAACCTGCTGGTGTTCCATCAGAGCTCCATAGTAGAGAGCTTGAAAAGTCACCTGAGTATTAAGAACAACCTGGCCTGTGAGCCACTCCTTGAGTAAGTATGTTTTTGGTTGTGAAGAAACTAGCACATGTTCTAGTGGTAAACACCCCCGCTCAATACACCGTGTGTGTGCGTGTGTGTGCGTGTGCGTGTGCGCGTGTGCGTGTGCGTGTGCGTGTGCGTGTGCGTGTGTGTGTGTGTGTGTGTGTGTGTGTTTTCTCGTTCACTCTGGGTCCGTACTGCAAATTATAAATCTCTTTTCTCTTCTTAAATATTCCTTCAGCCTGGTTGTCCAGCTGGCTCGGGACCTCCAGATGGATTTCTATCCCCACTTTCCAGACTTCTTTGTTCTGATCACCAATATCTTGGAGACCCGGGATACAGAGGTACTGGAGTGGGCTTTCACCTGCCTGTCCTATCTCTATAAGTATCTCTGGAGACTCATGGTCAAAGACATGCCCACGATGTACAGGTGAGAACGAACCTTTTAAAGTGTCGTTAAAATACCATAATGTCATATTATGACGGTGTGGGCTAATTTTTCCCTTATTACATTCTGCAGCTTGTACAGCACACTGTTAGCCCACAAAAAGGAGCACATACGAAGGTTCGCAGCTGAGAGCTTTTCATTTCTGTTAAGAAAGGTGGGTTATGTGCAGATGTCACCTGAGACGCGTTGTAGTTTTCAGCTAAGTGCAGCGAGGATGAGACGTAAATTGAACTTCCTGAATAAACGCTGACCTCCACCCCAGGTTCCAGACCTTGACGCCCTTCTCGACCACATGTTTCTGGATCTGGAGGTGCACCCTGGGAAGGCTGAGGGAGTGGGCC